AATTCTACCTTACAAATCTGGCTAGACCAGAGGATGTACACTGGTACAGATAGGAACTGGAAACACAGGGAATCCAGGACGTATGATCCCTTCAGAACCAGTGGTGAGAGTGGCGATAGGAGGGTGGAAGGTGGATGGGGTGGAAAGGGGGAACTGATCACAAGGATCTACATCTAACTCCCCTGGGGGACAGACAACAGAAAAGTGGGTGAAGGGAAACGTTGGACAGTTTAAGATATGACAAAATAATAATTTATAAATTATCAAGGGGTCATGATGGAGCGGGGGGCGGGGGGAAATTAGGAGCTGATGCCAGGGGCTTACATGGGAGCAAATGTTTTGAGAATGATGAGAGTAACGAATGTACAAATGTGCTTTATACAATTGCTGGATGTATGGATTGTGGTAAGAGTTGTATGAGTCCCCAATAAAATAATTTTTTAAAAAAGAAAAAAAATTGCCTTGGTATCAATAAAACAACAAACATAAACCACAGTATCCTATTTTTCACCTATATAAATATGCGTGGACATACTAATAAAACTAAAAATACAAAGAAAATTTTATAAAAATAGTTTTAACCAAAAAAGGTCTATAAACTATAAAAAAGTAGAACTAACAATGTTAAAGATTTTAGGTTATCTAGTCATAGACTTAAAGTATGTTGCATATGATTGAAGAATTCAGCTTAGAAATGCAAATATTCAAATTATTACCAACACAGTGCTACTTTTTAAGAGCAGAGTAGAACTGCCCCCTAAGTTTTCCCGGCCATAAATCTTTATAGAAGCTGTCCATCTTAATCCATTTTGATCTGCTGACCTTTTAGGTGAGCAGTGAAGCACTTTAACCACTGTGCCACCAGAAAAACTATAATGAAGATAGGCAGAGGGAACGCACTAAATTATGCTTAAATTAATGCTTTATATTACCTTTTTTCTCTCCTTTTCTAGTGCTCGCCACTGTTCATAGCATTCTTCTAGACGAATATGAAGTTCACTAGCTGGTCCACTACGGGTTTTAATTGGTCTTTGAAATCCAAAAGTTGGCACGAAACCAGAAAAGGAATTATCACCATACATCATATCATTGAAGTAAGGGTATAAATGGCTTAAGTCATCATAAGAAAACAAATCATAAGAATCCAACAGTGGAACAACAGTATGGCCAAATGGGTGGGCAGATCTTAGGGGAAACCCATTTGAACCAAGTTGTTGAAAACTCTGATTATGTCTTAAATCTCCCATAATATAATTATTAGAAAAGAATGACGCCTGTGTGCGATTCACACGGCTATTCATATTGCTGTCTCCACTTCCCTGTCTGTGGCTATTAAAATGACCCTGTGACTCCAACAGATCTTGATACGTATTTTGAGATAACCCATCTAAATGCTTTGGACCGTCCTCAGGATCATAATGTCCACTCTGGGGCTTAGCTTGAAAATTATGCTTGTTCACATTTTCAATGATCCCATATTGCTGAGCTGAATAATTATCACAAAATCCATTTGCCTGCTTTATTTTTTTATCATTAACTGATTCAAAGAGATTTTCTTCTCCAGTCTTTGTCAGTCCTTCCAAGTGACTGGCAGGTTGAATTCTTTCGGCACCATTGTAACTGAAATCAAAATTAGAAAATGCTGAAGGGTTTTCTTGGCAATACTTTTGAAATAAATTTGGGGTTAAATTTGTAGTTGATAGTTGAGGGAAATCTGAATGGCTAGAACCTTTTGAAGCAGCACTTAAGTGACTATTTAATTTCATCAAGTTACCTTGATTTCTATAAGGAATAGGAGTGTTAGTTTTTGTTTGAATATTCATCCAAGTTGGTCTGTTTAAGTTGATACCTCCTGAAGATGTTGCTGAGTTTGATAACAAATTCACTGATTTAAAATACTCAGAATTTGGAGGATCCGGTTTAGCAAACTGCTGCTTTTCTGTGACATTTGCAAAATCATTATTAGCTGGACACGCTGTATGAGGTTTCAGTCCATATTCTGATTTCATGCTAAAATCAGCAGTGAATGCTGCTTCCTTTGCAAATTGCTTTTCTGTCAGATGTGGTGTTGTCTTGGAAAATGTGTAATTCTGCTGATCAGGCATTGTCTCTTCCATTTTTTTGGGATTTGCTGGTTTAACCTGAAATAACTTTGTGTAGGTGTCTGCTTCTACTGTTGGTGTTTCAGATGCACCATTGGCTAATTTTTTATTGTCTTGGACATTAAAACTGGAACATTTACTAAGCTTAGCCTTATTAGGATGAGCATATTCTGAGTATCTACAGTAATCTGCATTTTCATTGTACCTATTAAATTGAGAAAGAAACATCTCTGCCCTTTTTTGCTGTAATGGTGCCTCAAAACCTTTGGCACATATTTTTTCTCTTCCATAAGGGTAAGTATCAACTCCTGATTCTTTCATCATGTCAGACAGACCTGTCTGTGGTGTAAAACAGTTTCTGACAAATGGATATTCTTGGAAAGTTGTTTTTGTTGGATCACTTGCCTGAACAGTGTAACAGTTAGAAGGGTCACTTCGTGAGGGGTACATCCATTGTTCTTCAAGGTCTAAGCCAGCAAGTCCATGATAGACTTCATCTATTTTTTGTTGTGCTGTGAGATTGCTATTATGCAGGTACTGCTTGTCCACTGCTGATACAGGTTCGCCACCATAAAAGGCTTGCTGAGAGATGGTTGTATCCATTGGCCTTTTGGTTTCTGTTAAGAGGTCATGGTGATCTGGAAATCTGTTTGTGTTCATTGGCCACACGGACTTTAAATTGGAGGAGCAGGTCCTAGAACAAGTAAATATATCCAATTACAACTTAAGCTTTAAAGACGATTTCCTCAGTAGAGAAGGCAAGGAAAGCTTTCAAAGACACTGATCTGCCTTACCTCATTATTCTCTAATTCTTTCCAATTTTGTCTTATAAGTCATAATTAACTCCAAATAATTGCTATCACTTGAAATGTTTTATAGGCTATATAAATATGTATTTTAACCTAATATCCCTTCATTGTACTTTCCCCAAGAGATGTTAACTAAAGTTTAAAACTGGTGATTGCATAGTCTTAAACGAATTGTTTTACCTATGGGATGCAGAGAACAAAATAAGTTTTTCTCTGATATGGTAATGATATGAGAGTGTGGGTCAACCACATTATTTTTTTAATGAAAAAATGTGTTCTGCGTAACCTATTTTTGAAATTAAAATATTTTAATTGGTTACATGTGTGTTACATATTTCTCTATTTATGAAATAGGGCATTTGGGTAGTATGGTTTCCACACCCAAATAAAACAATTAAAGCATATTTTAAAACTTTTACCACATGAATAAAATCCATATGTATTTCTGCATAGCTGTAATGATCATTTTATTCTTTGGGATCTATGCATAAAAGCTCTTTGGAATTTACACTCTTTAAGCCAAACTTTAGCTCATGAACTCAAGGGAAATAACTATGAATTAAGCAAGAATAATTTTCCAAATGAAAACTCTTAATAGTGATTAAAGTCTTAGGCTGAAACTTTTAATTATCTGGAAAGTACTTCAACAAAATCAGGCCCTTAAAAGCAAATATATGAACTAAGATGTCAATTGCCAGATGATCCTCTATTAAGTAAAAATAAAAGCTAATAAATAATAGAGAGAAAAGACAAATGGATGGTTGCCAAGGGGTAGGGTAGGGAAGAGTAGGGAATATGCTTAATGGGTATGGGGTTTCCTTTGGGGGTAATGAAAATGGTTTGGAACTAGATGGAAGTGATGGCTCCACAACATTGTGACTGTATTAAATGCCACTGAACTCTACTTTGAAATAGATATGTGAATTTCATTAAAAGTTAATACAAAAAAAAAGTTAATACATAGGGTAATGTAGTATTTGTGTATTTAAAACCTTACTACATACAATAAAGTTTATGTAATATACTAACCCCTCAGCAAAATATGGCTGTGACTTATCTTGTTCTTCCAAAATATTAGACACAAGTCCATATAAGTCTGTTTCACTGCCATAGTCATTTCTTTCAGTTTGAATCCTAAAAATAAATAAACACCAACTATAAATTATTTTACTTATACCAAAATAGATCGATTTCCATTTCCGGACTCTTTCCACCATATTTGGATTGAATCTACACCACCATTTGAAATAAAGAGATCTGAACCCAAGAATATGTTCGACTGTCATGCTGTCTATCTTACACAGATTTCTTTTTCATTTCAGATACATATTCTAGTTCAGAGTGAATGCCTACCTCTTACTTCTCCACAAGTGCTATTCAGTTTAAGTGACCAAAATGTAACTATCTAACCTAGGACTGTTGCAGACACAGTTGGTACCATGGCTGTTCCTGAAAACATGTCTGCTTCTATTATATATCATTCCATCAACTCCTGCTCAATTTTTTAATTTGTGATTTGAAAAACCATATAAACCTGCTTTTCTAGTTTTGTGACCCTTTACACTACATATTGGACAAAAAGGTGAAATGTTACGTGGTCATTTATGTACCGTGGAGATACTGCAGTTCCTTAAATACGAGTATAACAGATTTGGGGAATGAACCATAAATTCTTATCAAATGAGTGGCTGGAGCTCCATGAATCCAAAATCCTGTCTAATGACTGGAACTGTCTAAATAATACAAAATGTAAAAATGACAGAAGGAGACAAAAAGTAACTGGTATCTTTTTACCTCCTCTAGTTTCTAGGTCATTTCTATCCAGAAGTAATATTGTTTTAAATTGCCCTTTCTTGCTTTTTCATATCTTATTTTCCAGTATTTGACAGCATTTATTTAAAAAACCTTATATTTGCATATTGTATAACACTCAGGCATTAGTAATCATTCCGTTGTTATCTGTTGAATGAATGATTATTGGCCATATGAAGAAATTTGTATTTTGCAAGGATACATGACTTGCCAAATATTTGCTGAACAAATTGTCTACCTACAAGTCTGATGCTTTTTATACTACAATATTATTTAAGAAATATTTAGATATGAACTAAGTCCACATGGAAGAAGCACACCATTACCAGTCATTGAAGATTGTAGTCCATATAATCTGAAGTCAAAGGAGCCTAAAGTGTGAGAATCCAGTGTGCAGAAAGTGATAGATGGCAGTGGGAGCCCAAGATTCATTTGGAACTATATAGGAAATGAGCCTCCAGAGAACTCCCCTTATCTAAAATTCAGGGGTGGGAGGAAAGTGGACACTAAACAGAGTGTTTGAGAGAGATGAGTATAAAAGATCAAAGGTATAAATCTGACTTAAATAGTTAAAACTTTTTGAGTAGATTCCCTCCCCCACACCCTATAATGCAGGCTGGATTAATCTGGTTTCCAAAATTTTCTATATTTTTGGTATTTATTGTTTGGTTTGGTTTTTGCTTGTTCATATTAGGGTATATCTCAGAGGTTATATCATTGGAGGCCACCCTCTTGAAGTTGTGTTATGTTTTTCCATGTTTCAGTATATGAAATCCAGGATTGATGAATCTATAGGGACAACAGGTAGAATAAGGGTTTCAAGGGGGAGGTAGGTACAGTGGTAGTGTCTGGAAACTGACTGTGGTTGCAATTGTATAATTCTACTTGACAGAATTGAACTACGGAATGATATATGTATTAAATTCCAATTAATAAATGCAACTTGCCTCTAATTCCTAAATGTTTCCTCCCCACTCCCACTACCATGACTCGAATTCAACCTTGAAAGTCTGACTAGACCAGAGGATGTACGTACACTGGTACAGATAGGAATTGAAAATACAGGGAATCCAGGGAGGATGAGCCCTGCAGGACCAGTGGTGTGAGTGGCGAAACGGAGGGTAAAGGGAGAGTGGGTAGGAAAGAGGGAACTGATTACAAGGAACTATATGTGACCTCCTCCCTGGGGGACGGACAACAGAAAAGTGGGTGAAGGGAGACATCGGACAGGGCAAGATACGACAAAATACCAATTTATAAACTATCAAGGGCTCATGAAGGAGGGGGAGCGGGGAGGGAGGGGGAAAATGAGGATGTAATGTCGGGGGTTTAAGTGGAGAGAAAATGTTTTGAGAATGATGTACAAATGCGCTTTACACAATTGATGTGTGTATGGATTGTGATAACAGTTGTATGAACCCCTAATAAAATGTTTTTTAAAAATCCCAATTAATAATAAAATTTTTAAAAAGACATATCTAATAGCCGCCCCTCAGGATAGATGGGGCTTTCTATGTCCCATAAAGTGTTACCAAAAAAGCATTAGTCTCAGAAACTCACAGGGGCAGTTCTACCCTATGCTACAGGGTTGGTATGAGTCCGACTCAGGCTCGATGATAGGAGTTTTGATATAACCATCCGAATAAACTCACTTGAGAATTTATCAGGATTCTTAACATTTTTAGTAAGATTCAACTAATAACACTATTCCCTGGTTAAACTAAAGACATACCAGTTTACATCAACTTTTCCCTGCTAAATAATTAAAAATAGATGACACTCCTTTAAGTTTCTCTTTACAATAGGTTTCCATATCATTTGAAGCCCTCATTCATTATACTTGCCTGACATCAGTATTATGACTATAAGATCTGTGAAGGCAGGGATACTTGCTGTGTTAACTCTAGTACCCTCCAGTAGGAGGGCATCTGATATAGAGCTGAGGTTAGTTTCCTATTTGTTGTATACTTGGTGAAGGAAAAAAAATATTGAAAATTTGGGATTGGGTGAAAAAACATCTAAATATTATAACATTTAGTTATCATTAGGAAGAGGAACTTAACATTTGTTCACTAAAAGTTCCCTCTAATTAAAAAGTACTAAATTTATACACACACACAAATAACTGCATAGTTTAGGCTTCCCTAAAAGTTTGATAAAGGTCAAGTTGTGTCCACATCTTAAAATGCAAACATAAGCTCTAATGCTCCTGGGTTCCTATGTAATGAAACTTAAAAATATCTTATTTTGCTTGAGAAGTCTAATTTATTAATTTACCTGTTCTTGACATTGATCTGAGAATTAGAAGGTCTAATATCATCTCCATAAGCAGACCATGGTGCATAGAAAAGTGAAGAATCTGCAGAACTTGAATATTCTGTTGCTGAAGACAGTGGGGTGTAGGTCTGCCTTGGGTCTACACTGTCTTCACTCTAAAAATTTAAAGAAATGCTTGCATATCAGACACATTAAAACTTCATTTATTATAAAAATAATAAATATTACATATAGGAAATAAGGAAAGGGAGGAAATAACACAGTAGTTAAGGATTTTGAGACTTATCTTCAAATCTAGATTTCACTGCATTAGCTTTCTCTGTACCCGTGGTTGAGACAACTCTTCTATAGAATCAGATAGTACATACTTTAGGCTTTGCAGGTCATTAAAATCTCTTCAATTCTTTCATTTTAGCACCAAAGCAACCACAAGGCATAAATGGGTATGGCTGTGTTCCAACAAAACTTTACCACAAAAATACAACACCCAATTTGTGGAGGGCTATGGGGGGATGGTGAGAGCCCAAAACCCAAGTGCAGAGTGTCTGGTCAGACTGAGCCACTGGCAGATCCACTCTGGCCGAGACCATTGTCATCTTGATTATGCTGGATCGAACTGGACACTTGGTCAGTTGACCACCCTATAGATGTGACCTGAATTTTTCTGGGTCCATGACAGAAATTTCCTCCTTGGCTTTTTTAATGTTGTTGAGGGTCTTTTCCTTCTTATGCATTATTTGTATTTTTGTCTGTACACTATTATGTTTTTATCCCTAACACCTTAGTGCAATTTTGTTTTCTGTTGGGTCTCCCAGCTGTGAAGTACAGGAGGAGTGGAGCCATAATGCTAATAACAGGTACACGGGAATATAAAAAATACTAATGATAATAACAGGTACATAGAAATATAGAAAATACAAGAGTGGGTGGAATGAGATAGGTAGGGGAAGGGGATTTCAGGAGTAACTAATGAATATAGAAGGGGGAAGAGCATACTAGAATCATCTTAAAGGCGATTTGACCATGGGAGAGGGGGAATGTTCTAAAATTGATGTAGGGGTGATAGTACAATTCTCTGTGATATGATTGAATGATTGAACTATTGAATTTCATAATATGTAAATTACATGCAAATAAAACTGCTGGGGGAAAAAAGGAAAAAGTAAATAAAAATCTCACTCATGAAAGATTCATTTAAAAAAAAAACCGCAAAACTTTACAAAAATAGACATCAGGAAGATTTGGTCCCTGAGCCATGATGCTGGTTGTTGACCCCTGGTTTAATATACCTACTGAAGTTTTAATTTTTTTGAGATTAGCATTATGCAATGAATATTATTTAAAAGAGCATTAACATAACAAACAATATACTAAACTCAAGTCTTAATGCTCTAAGGAAGAAAAAAATTAGTGAACATTTACATAGCATTTTATAATTTTCAGAGAAATTCCATATACGATACTGCATCTAGTCAACCTTAAGGTATAAGGATAATCACTATTTTTAAAACTAGAAACTGAGGTCACAAGTTAGTGAAATAGTAAATACAAAACGAAAACCATTCCAGGACCTTCTTACTTCTAGTCTAGGTCCTTTCTTACACAGCTTTAATTTTTAGCCTATTTTCTATTTCTATGAGTGATTGTAAAAATGAGATAAAATGTTGTTTTTCCAGAAATTTTAGATATCACTATAAGCTATAAGAAAATTACAATAACATTTTACCTCTCTTTATGTGCTAATGCTTCTGTACTGGTTTTTGAGTAAACAAAATGTTGAATTTGAATAAATTTTTTGAAAGCCTTCCTCTTTCAAAGGGGTGGAAGTGTAATACTAAAAATAAAGTACTTTATTTTTTTAAATAACGTATTTTAAAAAGAATGAATTGGAAAGTGGTTGTGACAGCAATTATACAATTCTACTTGACATGATTGAAATATGCAATGTGTTACATATAGTAAATCCCAACTAATAAAAAAGATCGAATTTAACAAAAGATCAGTTCAAACTAAATTCGAATTTATTCTAGAAATTCCAAGAAGCCTGAAGTCAACTGAAATTAAATCTAAGTAAATTTTAATCGAGATGTAAATTTGCAGAGCAGTAGAACAGTCGTCTTAGGAATTGAAAGACCTAGGTTCCAGTGGGACTACGCCAACTGAGTCTCAAGTTTCTCAGCACAGTGCGCATAATATACAAAATCAAATAATTTAAAGACATTGTTATAATTCAAATTATAGCATTATTGATGATGGAAGAGATAATTCAAATGAAAATTAAATTATCCTGTAACTACACATGGGGTGCCACAGTGGTTACATGGTGGCTGGTGGCAGCAAGTCAGCAGTTTGAAACCAGCAGCTTCCGGCACCTCCCCCCACCCCCGAGAAAGATGAGGCTTTCTGTTGTAAAGATTTAGTCTTGGGTAGCCACAGTTCTACTCGGTCCAACATGTCGGGTCACTGTGAGTTAGAATTAACTAAGGCAACGAGGCTTTCTGTTGTTTTGTTTTTGTAGAAACTTAACGTAAGATGATTAATAAAAATATGATTTTTAAGTGAGGTAAGACATAGCCTGCTTTGATTAGATGCTTTTTGACACTGTTAAAAGCCAGAGAATAAAGGCGTAAAATATTTCACCTTTAAATGACCAGAAAATGTGTTTACACTGACATGCACTAACTATTTGAGGGGAAAACGTATTTTATGGTCTTAATGAACAGAGAAGCGTTTCTTTGCATGGCTGGCCTCCTGTCAGGCCGAGAGCACGACTAGGAAATCTTATTCCCGAAATTAATTTCAAAACCAAGATGTATCCGGCCAACTCTGCATTTCTGGTCCCCACCACGGACAAGCTAAAGAGCCCCGTGCCCGGCTGGGTCCCGGGCCGGGGCCTGCGGAGGGAAGGTGGAGGTCGCCACGGGACCTGCGCTTTGTAGCAGTCGTAGAAGGAGGGCGAGCCGCTCAGCATCACGCTGTTGAACACGTCCGTTAGCCTGCCGCCGCCGCCGTCGGCGCCCGGGTTCCAGCCGCGGTTCGCCGCTCCTCCGCGGAACGCCACCTTGGGCTGCACAGGGAGGCGAGCGAGAAGGTCAGCCGCAGCCGCAGGCCAC